GGCCCGGCAGCCTGCGGGCAGCGGACGTGTCTGCACGAGGCATGCGGGCACACTGCGGGCGCGGGGGCCCCCGGCGCGCACGCCCACTCCCACCCCTCCTCGGCTCCTGCAGTGCGCAGCGCAGACAGCCTGCACAGGGCTCCTCGTCCACTGTGCAATCTGACATCCTCTGTGTGCCTGTGTGCACTGGGATTAGAGAACGTGACCCTGCTAGTCTGGTAGATCACAGGAAAAAGTATTATTATTATTATTTGGTTGATGCTATTTAATTCAAAACAGCTTACATTTACCGTTTCTGTAGCTGGATATTTTACTGGAGCAATCAGGTGAAGTAGCTTGTGCGAGGATACAAGAGCAGCGTGTCTCCTGGGAGATCCTTCCACACTGCGGCCTGTAGCAGGACCACAGGAGAGCACAGGGACCCCAGTACACTGGACGCCATCAGCAGAAGGGACAGCCTGGAAAGAGAACTGGCGTTGGTCACCTTTTGGAGCTCTCTGGCTGCCTTAACTGTGGGCTGTGCCCACCCCCGTGCCTGACTGAAGGATCCTCTCATCAGCCTGGGCAGACTGCCCCAGACAAGCGCCACCTCCCGCTGAGAGCGGCCACTGTGAGAGGGTGTACAGTCCCTCAGTGCTCATGCAGGCAGTGGACAGTAAAAATGGAGCCACTCGGGTAAATGAGGGACAGCCAGTAGATCAGAAGGAAGGGCTGCGCACAGTTAAGGCTCATGCATGAAATATGGAAGCAAATAACATCCCTGCATGCTTAGCATCACTATAATAATATATAATATGGCTGTAATCAGGGCCGCAAGGAGAGACCTCTATGATAGATAGATACTTTATTGATCCCGTGAGGGAAATTGCAGATGTTGAAAGAGGGGTGATTGTTGGTGAGCCTTGGACACGAGCCCCACCTGCCGATGTTACACGAACACCGGTCTCTGCGGCGATGTCACTCAGAGGCAGCCACCCCAGCAAAGGGCAGCAGCGGGCAGATGCGGATCGTGCTATCTGTGCATTAGCTGGAAGTGCAGGGCAGATCCATTGTTTGTAAATTGCAGCCTGGGGCAGTTTGAGCGAAAGCGGTCCATCTCCAGCCCCTCTGTGTCATTGCGAGCCGCGTCTTTAAAACGGACGCTGCCTCAGAAGGCAGCGGTGCAGAGGCCTGTTCAGGGCTCCGCTCTCGCAACCGGAAGGCTGAAGGCTGTGGGTTCGAAACCCAGCTGGGGAGCACTGTTGGGGGTTGCCGAGGGTGCATTGAAAACGTCTGGTGCGGCGGGCCTCCCGTTGGACACCGGTACGAGGTGAGACGCTGGAGAGCGTCTGGGGAGCTGGCGTAGGGTACAGGCTTATTATATATTACAGGTTTGAACTTCCAAGGAACAAGAAGAGATTCATTCTGGATGCACTAGTTACTGGATACTCTACTGTGGATGTACTCCTTAGGGCGGAGCGGGGGCTCTGTGGCTCAGGATCTGCGCCTGGGGCTGGAAGGTTGCCGGTTCAAATCCCGCAGCCGGCAGAGGAATCCTACTCTGTTGTGCCCCTGAGCAAGGCCCTTAACCCCAGCTGCCCCAGGGGCGCTGTACA